GGGCACCACTGAGCTACATCCCCAGCCCCTAAAACTGTATTTTATAATCAAAGTTGCAGCCACCGTGCTACTTTCCCCCAATGGGGTGACAGATATTTATGGTCCGAATCTGCCACCTGGCTCTAAAATAGATAAGGGTTTCTCAGAAGGGAAGAAAAGGAACAGGAAATGGGCTCTCTATAAAAAAAGTTAATTGGAGGCGACTGTGACTGGCTGTCTCCCGGGGACGCATCTGGAAGCCGGAGCAGGCAAGACCTGTTGTGGGTGTGAGGGCACCATGATGGCAGCGGCAGTCTTGTCTGTCACGATCCCGTCCTCTTGGGCACCCTGCGTACCTCTCAGCCTCTGTCGCACCTTCCTGCAGCAGGCCTCAGCGTGCCCCAACTTGGAACAGGGGTCGGGGCAGCATAGTTGTCCCCCTGGCTCTGAGCACACTGGTGGCATCACCTGTGCCACTTCCTGGAGCAGCTTGGGAGTCCTCGTTTGTGTCTGTAAGAGGTGTGTTCAGAACAAGATGGATGCTGCCTTGCTTTGTGGATCTGGGGAAAACTCCACCCAGTGGAATGGCTGACTCCTGAGAGAGAGCACTGTGCTGTGTCCTTGTCCACCTTAGTCACCGGATCTGGCACAGTGCGACTTCTGGCTCTTCCCAAAGTCAAGATCAGGAAAGGGAAAGGTGTTGATCCATTCAGGACATGGAGGCAGCCAGGGCAGGGCACCTAAAGACACTCAAGAGAGAGGACTCTTGAGCTGCTGCAGGAAGTGACACGTGATAGCTAAGTGTGTTAGAAGCAAGGGGAGTGCTTTGAAGGGAATTAAATCCCTTACATTTACACACTCACCATAGCTTTGATCACCCATGGCAGGAGAGGAGCGACGAATAAGTGTAGCCTTCATGTGACACATTGATGCTCTTTCCCAGGGCAGTGCCGTCTGGACCCAGGCTCTCAGTCCAATCCCATCCTCCAGTCCTCCCAGTCCCAAGTCCTGCAGAGAGTCCAGAGATGCTGCTAGTTGTCTCTGTGACAGTCACTCCAGAGCGTCCCTCACAGGGCTCTGCCCCCTGCGTCCTCCCTTCCCAGCCACTCTCTGAGGATCTGGGCCCGGCGCTTAAGAGGAGGACAGCGTCGGTCCAGCTGCCCAGAGAAGTGGCCTCCACTCCTTTGTTCCACAAGGTCCCTGGACCTCCGCCTCCTAGTGTGTTTGAGCTTCCTGGAGGAAGTTTTTACCATCACCAGGAGCCTCGCACGCCAGCCTGTTCTGTGCTTAAGTGATTTTAGTGCCACAGAATTGTCCGTCCTGGAAGCCATACTTAGAGAAGTGATTTACTGAACATTTCTGTCTACAAAATGCAAAGCCATTGGAAAAATGATCTCTGACCTTCCTTATGTTGAGTTTTATGGCATCAGACAGGTTTTATTTATTTTTCCTTATGTGCTTTACGTTCATTATGCTCTTTCTCATTTGAAAATCCCATAGTATTAATTTTTTAAGAAATCAATCTCTACGGTTTTCCTTGCAGCTCCGTGCAACCACAAAGCGCCTAACTTTATCAACATCCCTCCTTCAGAAACTTCTGGAAACGCGCTGGGAAATATCTCCGACCCATGTCTTCCCCTCAGTTTCCAAGCCAGGTGGTATTTTCACATGTGCAGCTGTAGAGAACTCTGTGCTTCAGAAGAGAGCCTCCTCCATTTCTGCACATCTCTTCTGGCTTCTGTATTATTTATTATGCCAGTATCTGCCAGTTTGACCTCATCCTGGTCCCCCGGAAGTTGCCTAGACATTGAGGGTGACAGAGCAGTTCCCCACCCCCACGCACCCCAGTTACTGTCTGCTGTCGCTGTTACTCTCTTCCTCGCATGACAATTTCCAGATCTTTGCTCAGCTGGAATTCTACCTTTCAAGTAATCCTTTTAAGATTAGCGAATCTCCTTACTTCCTCAGCAATTTAGCCAATGTGTCCTCAGTAGGTTTTGCCTCTCTTATCACAAATCTACCTCTGCACACAGATGATAAATCCTCAGTTATATAAAACTTGTTTCTCAGCCTTCATCCCTTAAGTAACAAGACATTTCTCATTTGTACTTTGTATTTTATTTTGGTTCAGACAGTTTCCTCCAATGCTGCTATGTCTTCCTTCTGGAATTGAAAGTTTAGATCATGTAAAACTCGAATGAGAGCTTTTGAGTGGGTTTTCAAAAGTCCAGTGGGTTGACCCCAGTGTGGAAGGACAGGGACCCACACCTGGGGTGTCACTGCCACCCAGTGAAGGAGCTGGATGATTCGACCAGCAACTGAGCAAGAAATAGCTGCTTTCCTCCAGGACCTCTACCCAGTGCTCATGGAAACAGATTTCTTCACTTCATAGCTTTTAGTAAAAATTCTGCACAAGAAATACCACTGTGTTAGTCACTCTCCCACTACTGAGACAAAATATCTAACACTCACAACACAAAGGAGGGGAGGTTTATTTTGGCTCATGGTCTCAGAGAATTCAGTCCACGTGGGCTGCTCCAAGGCAGCAACATCATGGCAGAAGGGTTTGGAGGAGGACAGCTGCTCACCTCACAGCGTCCAGGAGGCAGAGAGAGAAGTGAGGATCTAGGGACAGAAACACAGCCTTGGAGGCCAGGCTGCTGATGCCCACTTCCTCCAGCCGGGCCCCAGCTCCTCACAGCACATGCAGCCCTGAGCTCATCTGTGAATGGTTTCTCTGAGGAGCGCAGTGTCCGTGATCCAGTCATCTTCCATACACGCAGACTTAGAAACAGTCCAGACCTCGCCCAGAGCAGTGGCTGAACTAGGGTCCCTTAGGGCCACACAGTGCGGAAGATGGAAAAGAGGATGTGTGTGTCTCTGCGGCTTCAGTAGGTGACGTTCCTAAGTGTCTCTGAAGATGTGTTCACTCTACAGGATGTGACTTGCTGTGCTTGCCTCACTGTATAAGTGCCGATGAGCACTAGAGTGAAGACAGCATGTACAGCTCCCTGGAGTTACCCCAGGCTTGAGAACCCAGAAATGGGTCTCCTCCTATAACTGAATCTTGATGTTAGACCTGTCTATTTGAACATCCTTGACTGCCTCTACTACCTCACACAGGAAACACAAGAAGGGCAGGCAGACCCCCCTGGCTGTATCGTGAATGCCATCTGCATTTCACACGCACCAACACCGATTAGCGTTTGTGAAAACATTATCCATGCAATCTTTATCATGGCTCAGGGACCCTTTCCTTTTACTTTTTCTACCTGCTGCTTCCGGCCTCTTTCGGAGAGCCACTCCCACAGCTACCTGGGGCTGCATGGTGCATGCCAATAGCCCACCTTTTCCTGGTCAAACACAGGAACTGTTAGGGTTTCCATGGCTACTATAGCCTTTTGGTTTTGATGCAATTTCTTAGTGTGCATTTTTATGAGAAGGCCATCCCAAAGACCTAGAAGAACAGTATATGTATGCATATATACTGCATTTATATAGTATATATACATAGTATATAGTATATCCATAGTATACAGCACACATACATAGTGTATAGTGTATATACATAGCATACAGTGTATATCGAGTGTAGAAGGTATATACATAGTATACAGTGTGTATACATAGTACACAGTACCTATACAGAGAATACAGTATGCATACATAGTAATTGTATATACTGTACGGGTCACTGTGCGTGGGTAACTATACTATATGTACTGTATGGGTGACCATTGATGACTTAGCTATCTAGAATTACATCTGCATTTCACATTTACACCATTTTACCTCAGTAGAGGAACCTTAATCAAAGATAAGCCATCATTTTGATGAAAGCAACAAGAAGTTAATAAAAATCCAGTACCCACCCCCTGTATCACTGGACTATGACCAAGCCATAGAATCGCACATGACGCGCAGATGCACCCACAACTCCTTGCCGTTTCACAGATTCTTGGGAGACGCTTTAGACTAGACATACAAGAAGCCTCGAGCACATGGGCTTCGTAATTCTGTGGATCATGGATGCGGATTCTGGCCTTTCCAGCCCTTCCGATTCCTGAGCAGAATGACAGGAATAGCTGGGTCTGGACCACGTGTCGCCACTACGTGGAAAATGCCAGACAGAGGCTTAGAAGGGAGCCTAAATGAGATCCATGCACAGTGTCGTCCTGGTGACAGCTGCCCAGTGCTGCGGTGTCCTGGTGCGCATTTGGAGGTGGGCATAAGGGGCAGGGGTTCCCTAGACTGAATGAACCAGAAAGAAACCAAAGTCTTTGGAGCAGCGCGAAGCTGAGCGACCTCTGCAGACAGTGGTTCCCGCTGAACGTGGTATGGCCCCTTTTCATCTTTCGGCCTCCGCGCTGCCCTCCCCAGGGAGCCCTTGGGTAACCCACGCCCTGGGAGGCGAGGCCAGGCCCCGGGTGCGGGTCTCCCGCTGTTGCACGCCGCAGCACAGCAGGGCAGGCTGTCTGATCCGTGCTGGCGGTTTCGGCTTTGGGTGCGATTCCAAGGCAGTGTTGTGCGTAGTCTCTGTGCAAGCCTGGTCTCTGGAGAGGCCGACTGGGCCCCATTGCAAGGGACCTGGCGCCATCTAGTGTCCTCTTCGCTTCACTGCAGCGGTGTGCCCGGAAACTCGGGGGCCTTGTAGATCCCCTGCGGTGAAGAACTGCACTTCACCCAAGGCTCACAATGACTTTCACCTCCCGTCTTCCGGGATTCGGGAACTTCTGGTCCTCCTTAGGGCCACTGTTTTTTGCTACGAGCTCCCTCAAGTGAAACGCCAAACTGTCTTCTGCATTCTGGCCGACTTAGCAGGCCTGAGCTCTCCCTGCAGACCCTCCTGTGTCCCTGGCAGCTCCGTGAAGCTGTCTCACAGCCGGGTGTGCAACGCTGTCTCAGCGGGGTTCGCTTTGCGCCCCTGTAGAAACCCTGAGCGAGCTTCCATCAGGGGCAGAACCATTGTCCTCTCTCCACATGTCTGATTCTTCTCTCCCTCTCTTGCTTTCAAATTTCAGATCGTCTACAAGGCCTGGCTCTGTTCCCAGTATTTTGAAGTCACGCAGTTTAACTGCAGAAAGACAATTCCTTGCAAGCAATATTGTTTGGAGGTGCAGACGCGGTGTCCGTTCATCCTGCCTGACAATGATGAGGTCATTTACGGGGGCCTCTCCAGCTTCATCTGCACAGGTAATGGGGCCCCTGGGCCTCTCCGGAGTAGGTGTCATGCGTGGTCGCTCACCCCGCTCCTGCATTCTGAAGATGCACTGGTGACCGCACAGGCGAGGGTGGGAGCGCGGATCCCCAAGTGGATCTGGACGTAGCTCTGAGCCCGGCAGTCCGCAAGACCCCGAGCCCCAGTCTGAACTCCGTGATTCCGCGGGCAGTGTTAGCAGCACTGCGCGATTCGGGCCTACGTGCAGGGGAGCTGCGCCTGCTTTACTGATCCATCCCACACTTATCCACTGCACACAATGTAATAAGGGCGGCCAGCTTCCGCTGCCGCAGCTGTTTTTCTGAGAGTGCTGTGTGGGTCTTAAGTAAATGTGAGTGCTCAGAGAAATGTTTGCCTGTGTCATTGTGCGGCTGTGTGCACGTGTGAGTGTTGCTAGTGTGAGTAGGGAGTACAGTAAGCGCGGGTGCAGTCTGATCCTTTATTTCCCATTAACAGCGCTTCCTTCTTTCCACAAACGCATACCAGAGCCCTCACTTTCTGTGTGTTTCTGAGCACTGCGTAGTTTAGACTCAGGGAAAGAGGAGAGGACAGGGCGGTCCGGTTTGGAAGGCACGCCGTGAAGACAGTGAGAATGCGATGTGGGGCTTCCTCTTACTCCCCTGAAGAGCACAGAATGCAACAGCCACCGGCCCTGTGGCTGGAGTCACAGCTCATCCATTTCCAACTTGGAAAGGCGAAAGCACCGTCGTAAGTGTGGAGAAACACCAGAACGCCTTCGCTGTACCAGGCTGAGCGGCATGTTTGGGAATTCGATGTGGAGTCTTATCCAGTCATTCCTGGATCACTTATCTACTAGCCTTACTGTCCTAAAGCAATAAATCAGTCAAGAAACAGCCCCGGCAGCACATGGTGGTGCACGCCTGTCATCCCAGTACTAGGGGAGGCTGAGGCAGGAGGGTTGCAACTTTGAAGCAGCCTGAGAAACTCACCAATTTAGCAAGATGCTGTCTCTAAATGAAAATTAAAATTTAAAAGAGGGACTGGAGGTGTAGCTCAGTGCTGCCCCCTGAAGGTGCCAGGTCATGAAGTGGCTCAAGGAAGGGCAGAACCCTTACAGGGAGACAGTGATCTAAAGTGCAGAGGGATTGCAGTCATGGCACCTCTCTGCTGGGGAGCAAGAAAGGGAGGAGAGAGAGAAAGAAGACAGAAGGGTAGTTATCGATGTCTTCTTGAATTCCAAGGAAGAGTTCTGCTGACAGGAGGTGAGACTTACTCGCTTTTCTGACCTCCACAGAGAGCACCCGGGGATCAGTGGGAATCTGAGTCTGGGCTCTGGGGGAGTGGGGACCTGTGTGTCACACCAGGGCTAGAAGCTGGGGCCTTCACAATGAGCCCTATCCCTCTTTTTTTAAAAAAGATATTTTGAAACAGGGTCTGGCGGAGCCAGCAAGTTGCTGGGCTGTTCTTGCAATTGTAATCATCCTACCTCAGCCTCCCGGAGTGCCGGTGTGACAGCCCCACGCCCCACACCAGCTTGTGTACACTCATCAGAGTGAAGGCTGCAGCCTGAAGCTCTCCTCCTGTGGCCTGGTGTCTGTGTCAACCCACTCTGGAGTTCGCCTCCTTCCCCAGAACCTGTCCGGAACCCTGGAAACCCAAGATGGATGACACCTCTTTCTCCTGATGCCCAACACCAGCGTGTACTTTTAGCTACTTTCCAGCTTTCTGAAAACCCCTTCTTCACCAGCACAACTACGGCACTGAGCAGAGCAGCAGACCAGGGTGTGGAGACAGGAGGCGGCCCCTCTCAGGAGCACAGCCGGGTGTCCCTCGGGGTGAAGCTGCTCTGAACCTGTGGGCCTGTCCAGCCGGCCACACCCATGGGCTGCTGTGACGCCAGAGGGTCAGGTTTCACCATCAGTGGCCTCCCCGCTGGGGGACCAGAGTCCCTGGCCATGGACTTAGGATCGCACTGGCAGATAGTGCTGCTGCCCCCGCTGGCCCCGGCTCAGCCTTCAGAGGACCCCTGCAGACGGAGGTGGCAGGGCCTTGTGCTCCGCCCCATGGGGAGTGTATGAGACTTGGCACCCCCTGTGCCCAGACAGCAGCAGACTGTTCCCAAGGGGATGGATGAGCACGCTTGGCCCGGCCACAAGGGTGCAAGGACACCAGGGACCCAGCCCAACCGGTGAGGAGGGCGATATCTAGGACGTGGACCTCAGCCTCAGTTGCTGGGAGCTCCTCCCTTTGACACAAGTCATAAGCGGAGTTATTGGTGTTCTGCACCCTGAAAGGCAGCATAGCTCGTCACTAAGAAGGGGGGGCACCTTCCTCCCAGGTGCACACGTTTCCTTACCACCATGTCCCTCTGGATGGAAAGGCCTGTGATTGGCTGACTCTGAAGGACCCTTCACTGCCTGGAGAATTCGGTGAACACTTCGGCTGCCCAGGGCTCATGGATCTGCTGCCGCCTGGGGAGGGAGGATTTTGTTCACAGTGCTTCTCCTAGGGACAGGCCAGGGGTGGCCGCCCTTTCCTCTCTGTGTCCCCCCTTACGGATGGGGGTCCTAGGGCCCTGAGTCTGCCTTGAGTACCTTCACCAGTGTGTGTAGATGCTCTTGCTGACGTCGGTTATGATTAGTCTGCGTGCGCAGTGCCCGATGGTTAGGCTCCCCCTGGGGAGCTGGCACCGTGCTTGGTAGGCCTCTGCTCTTTCTTCGTCCCTCTCCTCCCCGCTCTCCTGCTCTTTCTGTATCTTGAGCCCCTTCCCACTTTCTAAAAGAGATCACATGAAATTAAAAAGCTTTCGCACGGCAAAGGAAACAACCAAGAGAGCAAAGAGACGACCCACAGAATGGGAATTTTTTACCAGCTGTTCCTCAGACAGAGGACTAACATCAGAAATATATAAAGAATTTTAAAACATTAGACCCCTTGGGTTAAAAACCCATCCAAAAATGGGCAGCCAAAATGGACAGACACTTCTCAGAAGAGGTACAAACGGCTGATAAATACATGAAAAAAATGTTCAATATTATTTGCCACTAGAGAAATACAAATTAAAACAACACTGAGATTCTCCCATACTCCAGGAAAAATGGCCACCATGACTTTGAGGATTCCTTTCTCCCCCTACCTCGTGTGCTGGTGCATCCTTGTCATCTTATCGCTCAGGGAGGCTGAAGCAGGAGGATTGAAAGTTGGAGCCCAGCCTGGGCCCAGCCTGGGCAACTTAGTGACTTAGTGACACTTTGCCTCAAAATAAAAACTGAGAAAATGAACTAAAGATGTGGTTCAGAGTGAAGGCTCTGGGTTCAATCCCCAGTACTGGACAAAAGAAAAAGGATTCTTACTACCCACACAAAAGATAAATCCCCCTTGAGTTTGTGAATTTTTGGCAGCATCAGATGAGATAAAGTTTCTTTAAATAATCGGGAGTCAACTATAATTTTGCTAACAGTTACTGAATTTAGCATTTAGTGTCTCTTTTCCTTATGATGCTTGTATTATCTTATGCAACTCCTAAATTTGAAAGCTTTAAACTTATATTTTTGACCATCTGCTCTTTTATATCCCTTGATGCGTGATGAAGGAAGAAGCCCCCGGGGTGCTGGTCCATGCCCTCCCCTCGGGGTCTCGGAAGGGGGTTTGCACGAGGTCCTGGTCAGAGGCTCTAGCCAGGCCCCGCCACACTTACTCCCCCTGAGGGTCAGAGTTCACGCATTCCTGAGCAGGAAATGGAGAATGAACCGAGGCGAAGCTGGTCCCTCGGAGTGGGCAGGGGCTGCGGCCCACCCAGGAGGGCTCTGACCAGCCCGGCCAGGGCTGGGCGGACCTGCTGCCCCTCTGCAGGTCCCGGATTTCCCTTTGCACCTCCTTCCTCTCTTCTCTCCTCTCCGTCAGGAGTCCTGGGGAAGCCCTGGACTGCTTTCCTGCAATACGAAGCCTGGATTCAGAGAACAGCAGCTGTGGTTCGCAGGAACAACCCTGTGACTGACACAGGGCAGACCCAGCGAGGTGCCGCTCCGTTCTTCCTAGGGAAATCGCTCCAAGAACAAAAGTGAAAGTCAGTCCGCTGGGGGTTACTGACAACGAAGATAAAATATATTTTGAGCATTCTAGGTAAATTCTGCATTGCATTTTTCTTTTGAGCTGTGACAAGAATGAGGTTCTGTTTCTGCCTTTGGGAAAACACTGTGGGCTGCTGATTTGCCTCGCTGACAGGTGGATTTGCATGTCCCGGGCACGGCGCCCCCTCCTGGCACTGTCTGGGTACTGCAAGCGCCCGAAGATGGCCACCTGCTGGCGAGACGTTTAGAAGAAAAACACAACCAGGACCCAGTGCATCACATCACAGAAATTAAAAAACAAAACAAAACAAAAAAAACCTCCCCTACATCACTCTTAAGAAAGCTCGCAACTGGGAAGAAAGAAACATTCCCTCACCCAAAGCCTATTCTGACATGTCCAGTGAGTCCAATTAAAAAGAAAGGAAAGATTGTCTCTTACAAGTATGTTAGTACAGAAACCATTTCCTGTAGATTTTAAATATAATTTCAAGGTCATTTCCCATGCCGGTTTTTAATGTAGGTGTTTTTCCCAGTGTTCAAATATTATTTGAAAAAGAAAATTAAAAAAAAATAATGCAGTGCTACCTGAGTTACAGCACCATTTGATGATATGCAAAATCTTCTAGTGAATTTGTCAGAGTTTGGGCCAAAGGAGAAATATGAAGGGGAATGTGGTGAGCAGAGTAAAATGCGGCTATGAGAGAATAGGTTATAAAAGCATGTAGCTTTGGATCAGCTTCCTGTGATTGTCATACTTCCTCCGAGAATGCTGTTTCGCTCTGAGTCCAGGCCCTCCCTTGGCCAGGTTGCTTTTCTGGACTTTGGCCCTGATGAGACTCCTGGCAGCTCCTTTGCCATATTCCAGAGGCTTCGTGTGGGGCAGGGATGCTGGGGGGACACAGGGTACCTGGCCTCTGCCAGCAGCAGCTCCAGAAGTCACACAC